GGGGGAGCGGGTGCTGCGGGGAGGCCGTGCAGGAGCTTGCCCGAGCCTGGGCGGGGCGTGTGGGGGCAGCGTGTTTCAGCAGTACCCGCGTGGGAGTGCTCACACTGGGTTGGGTGGGTTATGGTGCGGCTGGGTTTGAGGGGTGCTTTTAGTCTGTCTCGTTGTCCTGTACCGTAAAAATAAGGAAGAAAAAGTAGTATGGAAGAGGAACAAATACTTTCAGGCCTCAAAACGGGTTTGTGTATGTCTCTGCTCAGAGATGTTAAGCGGAGATGTGCCGGAAGTTGTTAGTGTTTTGCTACAGTGTGGTGCGACGTAAGTTACTTGGTTGTAGGACGTACACATCTTCTGCGCGCTGGGTTTGAAATTTGTCGTTCCCCAGTATGTTCTGAGACGTTCTTTTTTGTACGTGTGCAGACGCGTGGTGCGCAAATCGATCGCCAGAGTCCTGACTGTTATCAATCAGACCCAGAAGGAGAACTTGAGGAAGTTTTACAAGGTAAGTCCAAACCTTGCACCTCGTGGTCTTTTTTCTCTCACCGTTTTCAAATACAGAGTTTGTAGAAAGGAACTAATATTGTAGATTGTTACTTAAAAGGTTAAAACTCAAGAAGAAAAAAATCATACTAAGTTCTTTAGTCGTAGTTCCTTTTTAAATAATCCTGCAAGACTAACCTGGGTTGTGTAAGCTTGGTGTGAATGTGCTTTTGCCAGGAGAATCTTGTGGGCAGCATCACCCTCTGGGGAGTAGTGTACTTCCCAGAAGATGCAGTTTCCAGAAACGCATATACTCTCCTAAAGTTTAATCATGTTGCAGGTGACATTTTTTACCTCATTAAGTTTCTGTGATTTTTATAATATAGCTGCTTGGGGCTTGAATTATATAGAATAGGAGGAAAAAAAGAGGTGTTGGAAAACTGGGACTTGGAAGATGCAGTGTTACTTAAACCTGAGTCAAAGCTAGTACAGCTGGTATGCAAGTTAGAACCAACTCACGTTTCTCAGTGGAGAGAGGGTCTCTTGGACTCAGACTGTGAGGATGGTCCCACTAAAAGAAGTTAAAGCAGTGCTGCTGGTGCTGTCCTTCAGGCAGCTCAGCTCGCGCTCTGCTCCTGTGGGTGATGGCAGCTGTGCAGCCTCTCAAACTCAAGTTGTGTGTTTTTGCAAACAGGGCAAAAAGTATAAGCCCCTTGATCTGCGGCCGAAGAAGACTCGTGCCATGCGACGCAGGTTGAACAAACACGAAGAAAATCTGAAGACCAAAAAACAGCAGCGAAAAGAACGTCTGTACCCTGCCCGGAAATACGCCATCAAGGCGTAAAACAGCACTGGGCTGGAAGTTCTTAAGTACTGGCTGAGTGTCTTATTAAATAGAACGTTGTTTGGAAGCTGTCGCTGGTGTTTTTTTCACTAGTGGTGGATAAAAGAACCATCACCTTTATGAGAAGAAACCAGGGCATTCGCAGAAAGTTGGAAGCTGTACGCAGGTGGTGGCTATAAAGTTTTTGTCTCGTGGCAGTCGTTGTGTTACGATGAACTAATCTGCTGAGGTGTTGTAGCAGACTTCATCGAAACCACAGAGGTCCCTTGGCACTTGTTTGGATCACTCTGCCGCTGGTTGTGGCACCAAAGAGTCGCCATCCATCCCTGGTTTGGGCGGATGCCGTCGGCAGTGC